TGGAGATAAAAGTCGATGCGGTCTGTGCTCTGAAATTATTGTATCTCGGACATCTTCTATCAAACGACATTTTGAAACAAACCAAAAAGAAATTTCAGAGTTAAATATTACTGAAAGGAAAGAAGTTATTTCTCAACGCTTGAAGGTAATTGAAAACCAATCTAATTTGTTAAGTAAATTCGTAAAAACTTCTAATAATGTCACTGAAGCAAGTTTTGAAATTTCTCATTTAATTGCCAAACACTCAAAACCATTTTGTGAGGGCGAGTTTTTAAAAACGGTCATGTTAAAAGCTGCTCCTAGTTTATTCCAAGATTTTAATAATAAAGATAAGATACTTCAGAGAATTCAAGAATTACAACTAAGTAGAAATACAATTAAAGAAAGAATTTTAAAAATGACCGTCAATATTTCTGATCAACTTCAGTCTGATATTAATAGTTGTGATTTCTTCTCGATTTGTTTGGACGAAACAACAGATATAAAGTCATCTGCTAGATTAGCAATTTTCGCACGTTTTTCAAACGGGAATGAAATGCGTGAGGAACTTTTAAAATTAGCTAATATACCAGAAAGAACAAGAGGTACAGATGTTTGTGATATTGTTGTCGATGAATTAAAAAAACTCAACATAAATTTAAAAAAAATTATTTCTGTTACGACGGATGGAGCACCCAATATGACTGGAGCATCAATAGGTTTTGTTAAGTTATTTGAAAAGCATGTTGGACATCCAATAATTGGATTTCACTGCATCATACACCAGCAAATGTTGTGTTCCAAAGTCGGCACAAGTGATTTAAAAGAATTGTCAGAACAAGTTAATAAAATTATTAATTTTATAGTTGCTCGTGATATGCATAAAAGACAATTTAAAAAAATATTAAATGATGTTAACTGTGAATATGATACTCTTTTATTGTGCAATAATGTACGCTGGCTAAGCCGGGCTACATCATTAGAACGATTTGTAAATTGTTTGGACGAAATTCGCCTATTTTTACATGATAATAAGACTGAATTTAAAGAACTTTATAATACAGAGTGGCTTGTAAAATTGATGTTTTTCACAGATCTAACATTACATTTGAACACTTTGAATAAAAAGTTACAAGGACGCGGAAAAACAATTGAAGTCATGTTTGGATTAATAAAAGGTTTTGAAATGAAAATAGATATGTTTATTAACGATGTCAAACCTGGAAAATTTCTATACTTTCCAAAAGTGAAAAAAATGTTAGGTGAAGTGGACATTTTTGAACAAAGCAATTGGGATTTTACCAATGAATTTTCAAATATTGTTGGTTTGATTAAAATACAGTTTTCACAAAGGTTTCATGATTTTAAGAAAATTGAAAAATTAATAAAAATTATTAATTATCCCGATTTATTCGATGTGCAAGATTTTAATGAATACTATCTTAATTGGATGGAATTAGAAAATTTAGAAATGCAGTTAATCGATTTGCAAACTAATCCAATTTGGACAAATAAATTTGTGAATATGCGAAAGCGTATCGAAGAATTGGAACGTCATCGAATACACAACGAAGAAACAGATTGCGGCGTTGACAACATAATATTAGAAGTATGGAATAATATTCCAGAAAATTTTTCTTCTGTCAAAAAATTAGCAATTTCATTGTTAACAATTTTTTCTTCAACATATGCTTGCAAAAGTCTATTTTCAGTATTAAATCATACACATTCAAAGGCTAGGAACAGATTAACGGAGGAAGATTCGGCAGCATGTATTACCTTGCAATCAACATCATATCAACCAGATATAAAAAACCTTTCAACCAATATGAAGCAAAAGATTTCTAACAAACAATAATAATTTAATATTTTTTTCACATTATTTACATTTTTACATAATTTTCTACATTATAATCATAAATTTTTCATTTATATTTTGTATTTGTATTTTGCTGTGCTAATAAAAATAATTATGGCACGGCTGAAAATTTTTTTTGAATTATGTTATAAATTGGCACGTAGAAAAAAACCTATTTGCCATCCCTGGATTAGATGGAAAGGTTCAAATATCCGATCCGTATGACCGTTGTACTTATTAGTTATTATCGTTTATGACCGTTAAGGGCATTGTTAAATTGAGATATAATTTCATTTAGACTTCTGGTCTTTACTATTAGGTCTGATAAATTTCCCAGTAGCAGTAAATTTAACGAATATTTATCTAACCGTATTCTTCGAACGGATTATTTAAAATGAAATGCATAAATGCTAAAATTAATTTTAAAATTATTATTATACGTTTCTGGTATTAAATACATGAATTATTTAATCAATAATTTCGGGTATCATTGCATTAATGGTTTATAGTTTATACATCACATATTATTAAAATAAATACAATAAAAAAAATAATTAGATTTAACATGCACCTATTTAAAAATTATATTATAAAATATTTTTAAAAAACTTTATTAATATTTTAAATTATAAGGTTTCTAGCATAAACTAGATCGTAATTTACTTAACGAAAATATTGATATTTTAAAAAAATGTAAAAAGTCAGCCATTTGACTTAAATAAGTGTTTTTACCATATAAATTTTTCTAAAAATCAGATTTACAAATTGGCTATATTGAATATTTCGAAAAAAAAATTTATCAATTTTTAAGTTTTTTATTTTCAGTATTAAAAAATAAAAAATAAAAAATGCATTCTAAAAATGTAGCGCAAGTGTCTATGAATTATATTTAAAAGACATTTTTAAAAAATATTGATTAGAACAAAAGTTATTTAATTTGTCAGATCTCCGTGGGACACCCTGTATATTACACACTATGTCACTACGAGAATACGACAGTTATAATACTGAAGTACTTAAATTATTTTGTAATAAACGTGTGTCGTGTATGGATAAGATAAGATTATCGTTTCTACAAAATTTTTATCGGACATAAAATTGATCTAAAATTACAATATGTATAAAATTCTAACCTAACCTAACCGCCCTTGTTAAGTGCTCGCGCCTCTTTTGGGTGGAGCGCCACACAGTTTGGGAACCGCTGCAATAGCTATTTCTTTTTCAGTTAATGTTCGATTAATGTAAAATCCAATATCATGACAATTATAATCAGTATCAATGGTTAATTGCGAGGTTAATTGGGAATCACCACTCAATGGGTTAATATTTGGAATCGTTGATGATTGTTCATTGGAATCCATTACTTTAGACGACTTTTTAAACTCTTGATACAGTAGACGGCGATAGTTCTCGTTTGGACTAGGGGTGGAGAATAATCGATAGTCGTAACCATCGATAGCTTCCGATTGTTTGTAGTTGTACTATCGATAACTATCGATAGTTTTCGATAGTATTTTTGTCTAAGTGCTGATGATAAAAAACATACTTTTTTTTCAATTTTGAATCGATGACGCCGTGAGAACTGCTTTCACAATACTTCTGCGGCATAGTCGAAAAACTTACTTAAACACAATATTAATTGTGACAATAAATAAAAACATTATGTCATTAAGTCAAATGATTTATTTTATTGCGTACAAAAAAATTGAATATCAATTTTTCATAAATTATAACATTGTAAAATAAATATTTAATAATGAACATAGTAAAAGGAACTTCAACAAACTTAGGAAGTATAAAATAATTAGTACATTTAACAAATATGATTAAAGGAACTTTAAAAACTTTAGTAAATATAATATAAATAGTTCTCTAATAACATAAAATGAAAATAAGTAATAACTGGTTTTTAGTTATATAATTCAACAAAATAAAATGTTTAAGATAAAATAGGTAATATAACAAATGATAAAAGGAACTTTAACAACTGAAATAAATATAAAATAAATAGTCCACTGTCTTTTAACAACTTAAATAAATATAAAATAAATAGTCCACTGTTTTGTAATGATATAAAAAGAAAATAAGTGATAACTGGTTAACATAATAAAAAGTTCTCTGTTTTTAACATCATAAAATGAAAAAAAAGTTATTATCTTTATCAACCAAATAAAAAAAAATTTTGTAATAAAATGATTAAACAAATTATAATAACCTATCGTTTTGATTTATAAATATCAACATATTTACATTTTTAGCTTTTAATCTAGACCGCCTGTCCGAAACAACTATACCAGCCTTACTGAATATCCTTTCAGATGGGACTGAAGTGGCAGGAGCACATAAGATTTTTTTAGCACAAGTGGGAATAGTCCCAAGACTATCATTATTAACCTGAAATATTAAAATTATAATTTTATAGATTTAAAGTGAGTTTGTCACTATTTAGATTTTAATTTTTAGGTAGGTACTTACATTCCAGAATATTAAAGGATCCATATCATTATTTGTATTAGGACGTTCCATGTATTCTTTTAAATAAATGATTGAATTGGCAGTCACCGTCCTGTTTTTACTTTTTTCAGCTATTCTTGTCTCCAGAAAATCAAATAATGATTTACCAGGGTTAGATGCCGATTCTGTAGTATCATGACTTTCCTCTGGATTTTGTGGTAATAATGATTCTTGCAAAGACATTTCGCTCTGAAGTAAAGAAACTGCACATTTAGCATTATCAGAAGATCTAAAAGCCTCTTTTTTCAGTCTTGGATCTAATATTGTAGCTAAACGAGTTAAAGTACGTTCTTCATAATGGAATAACCTTGTTTTAACACTTTCAACTGTCTTTTTTAGTATAATCTTTCCTTCTGAAGAACTTGGTTGTAGATTAATAAGATGATTATACATACCATACACTAAAGGTATAATCAATGAAATGGTAACATAATTACCTAAACAGAAAATGATCATATAAAATAAAAATATTTTAAACATAATCTATATTATAAATTACCTGATATTTTTTTGGTTGCATCATCAAAACAACTCAATATTTCAATTAAATCTTGTAGAACCAAAGTATCTTCTAAATTTAAAACTGCAGGTGCATTAGGCATTCTTAATAATACAATTGTTATATCATTCTTCAGTTCTAGTATTCTTTTTATCATATGATACATACTGTTCCACCTTGTAGGAACTTCTTGAATAACTTTTAGAGGCTTTTTGTTTTGATTTTCTTGCTCAGCTATTAGCTTATGTGTAGCTATGTTACTGCTTTTAAAATAAGTCACCAAATTTTTACATTTTTTTATAACACAATCAACTTCTTTAAGTTTTAATGAATCTTGGACGACCAAATTTAGTGTGTGAGCAAAACAAGGAAGGTGACGTATTTTTAGTATTTGACAAGCTTTAATCATTGAAGATGCATTGTCTGTTACTATTGTAACAACTTTATTAACAATATCCCAATCTTTTATTATAAGGTTTATTTCTGTTGCAATATTCTCACTAGTATGACTAATGTCCATTTTGTTAGTGGACAAAACTGTACAATGCATTTTAAAGTCTTTATCAATAAAATGACAAGTAACTGTTAAAAAACTTTCATTTGCTCTGGAAGACCATAAATCACATGTCAAACTTACATGACAAACATTTTGAAGTAGAGCAAATAATTTATCTTTACATGTTTCATAATTTTGCTTTAATAGAGAGTCTCTTAACGTTGACCTACTTGGTAATACATACCTTGGATCAAGTATTTTAACAAGATTTTGGAATCCTGTGTCTTCAACAATTGAAAAAGGTTGGAAGTCTTTACAAACCATTAGAATCAACGCCTTATCTATTTCTTTTTTGCGGTTGTTGTCACGGTCATAAACATTTTGTTTTTTAAAATATGTGGATATTGAATTACTACTTTGAGTATCTTCATCATCTGACTCAACTATAGTAGATTGTATTTCTGGGTGCATTCTTTTAAGATGGTCTTTGAGATTACTGGTATTGCCACTGGTTCTGTACTCTTTTTTACATTTGCAACATTTTGCAAGTTTTTTATCTGCATTTCTAGTAAAATATGTCCAAACATTAGAAATTTTCCTTTTACCCATTTTGATGGAAAGATGAACGTTTACTTATTAAAAAAATTAAAAACTTAACAAGATAAAACAAATAAATACTATAATAATCACAATATAAAATGAAATTTCAAATTATTGATAGTGATAACGACTGTCGACTATTGAAAACTATCGATGGTGGCCTTCAAACTATCGATGTTATACGATAGTAGTAACTATCGATAACTATCGATAGCACTATCGATAGTTCTCCACCACTAGTTTGGACCGTATCTTAAAGAAAGAAGTTATAGAATTTTGATTTTTTTGTGACACTTCAACAAACATTTAATTCAGACTCTTTACTTTATATCTGAAATAATTATAACACAAAATAATATAATAGTTTTACAACTAAAAATGCATAATGGATTATTCTAAGTCTAACGCTCATGTGAATATATGATCCTAGTATTAATACTTAAATAATAATAAAGCAACTAGAAAAAATGACTTAAAAATATTACGATTCTAAATAATTTAGATGAAGAATATTATATAATATGCCTATTATTAGTTTAAAAAATACTTAATTATAATTTTTTCATTTTAATTAATAATATTAATTTAAGAAAAAATTATGTGCACTTGTGAAAAATAAATATTATAAATAATATAGGTACTCACCAATGACAATAATATGATTATATACTTTTAAAATGTTTATTTTATCTGCCTTGTTTCTTCGATGACGATTAAATGAAAAATGATTTAAATTAAATTGATAAAAAATAATATGTTTTAAAATAAATGTACATATTTAAGACCTAACCTAACCTAACCCAACCTTTAAAAAAAAACATCATTGTAGCATATTAATATCTAAATAAACACAACACAAATTCCCGCTGGAAAAACAAGTAACACAGACAC